TATGTATGTATACATATACATATATATATATGTGCTTTAAACTAGCCAAATTGACAAGTCCCGTGGCATCCTCTCTCAGAAAACCATCTGACAGTGGTTTCACAATGTTATGATGGTTCCATCTTCTTCTAAAAGTTTTTGATCTGCAGCATGTGTTTCAGATTCTGTGTTTGTCCCACTTGCCACAGGTGCTAGGTTCACTTCATGAGAAGGAATACAGCCATTCTGTCCAGCCTCAAAACTGAGTTCTATCTGTGTCAGTGACTCCAGGCTCTCAGCAGCTGGAACAGCTTTAGGAATCTGCTGTGGCACTCCATTGTCTTCGATTATAATATCATCTTCATCGCTGTCTTCGTCCTCCTGTTCAAAGCTTGGTTCAACGTGCTGTGAGTAGCCAAGGAGGCTGTTATCAGTAGACTGGCCGGAGCTGCCAGAAGTCCGACTGTTCCTAACAACGTTATTCCTCTGGTTTGCTGGTCTCACTGTTATGATGAGGTTGCGGCTGTTTGCGATCATCATGTCTGTTACTTGATCAAGACTCTTCCCTGAAACTTCTATGCCATTAACTTCTAACACTTCATCGTTGACAGCTAACAGTCCCGTGCTCTGAGCCAGGCCTCCGGGGACGAGTCTGGATATGAAGACCCCTGGGACCTTCTCTAACCCGTGTGGGGTGACTCTGACGCTGGAGCCGTCCCGGATGTAGAATCCTAAGGGCTTCTCGGTGCCATATTTGTAAAGACGAACCCTACGATGCGTTTCTGGGAGAATGTCCACATCTATAATGGAAGACACAGGTCGGAAGTCCTGGGGCATACTAATGACTATGTGTGGCTTTTTTCTATGGTTGTCAGGACGCAATACATTAGTTAAAACGTTCTTCTTCTTTGTTAGCGTGTCTGTACCAAAGGCACTGTAGTCTGCTTCTTCTGTTTAAAAACAAGATAAAATAAAATAATTACAGAAATGTTGTGAAAAATGCCATTTATGTGCAGTTGAGTTCGTACAGAAAGGTACCTTAAAAGCTTCTGGTACACAAATAAACTAGTTAAATATTAGCTTATTCTAATCAGATCATAATGTAGCACAGCAATCAGATATGCCATACCGAAAAAGAACCACTAGGTGGACCTCTCAAGCACATATCACAAAATTAAGTTGTTTTTGATAAAATGCTCAATTAAAATATACAAAGCAGAGCTCAGAATCACCACCATCTTGTTCCCTGCTTTATCATCAGCAGCAACAATACTACAAAGCAAAACAAATTTCTCACATAGATGACAAATAACAAACATTCCAGGGAGAAAAGTCTGTCAATTACCCCAGAGCCTCCCCCCTTCAGGAACAACAAAGTGAAGTGAAGTTGGTGCACATCGAACCCATAAATTCTGGTTTTCACGGCCACAATTAAACACTCTCTCCCCAGCTTTACGGGGGGAATTCTTAACCTTCCATTTTCGCCCTCTTGAAAGAGACAAAGTTGTAGGATTTTTAACCCCTTTCTTTACTATGTGAAATAGACTACGTGTAAAGACATGTGTCTCAGTGTGGGTGCCGTCAAGGACGGGGAGCAGTCAGGACTCTGGCGAAGGGGACACCTTCTCAGCTCCGGGCAGCTCCCCGCGCAGGGCCAGTGGTTCATGTGCCCAAATCCCATGTTCCAGCAGACGCCAGAAAGCCAGGGTTTTTTAAGTAAAATCATCCCATTTTTAAATGCTGACATCTAATTGAAAAAACAACTTAAAAAACAAAAACAAAAACAAACCTTGTCTGGGTCAAATAACATATCTGAAGATTGAAATCAATCCTCAAACCACCCATTTCTAATCTCTGATGTAAAGTGAGGGAAAACAGAGGACCTAAAACCAGATGTTGTTCAACCACAGACTGAAGGGAGACCATCTATAAACAAAAATCTAATCAGAAAATGAGAGGCAGAAAAAGAAATAAAGGCAACAGCAGGAACAAAGTTAAAATCAAGTTTGGTTTTCTTTAAAATAACCAGATGAGGACAGGACGCTAACATTCATTTGTGTAAATTTACACGTTTTCTCCCACTTCTGTCGTCGGAGGTTGATGAAAACGAAGCTAAGTTAGATTTTTTTTTTTTTTAAAGTAAAAATAAGAAACAAAAGGCTCCTCCCACAAAAAGGAACTAGTTCAAAGTTCCAGTCTCAGCTGGCGCGTCAGGCAATGGTGACAGCGCTGGTTACCGAGCACTGTGCCGGGTGCCTGCACTGTAACTGTTCCTTCAGGCCTCAACCTCCCCTACGGGAAGCCATGATCATCTTTACCGTATAAAGCAGGAAATGAAGGGGGCAAATAAGCCACAGAGACAGACCCAGAACCCAGGTTTCCTTACCAGGCTGTCAACTTTACATGATGAACACTCACCATTAAATCTGTGTCAAATGTGAAACGACCAAAAGCGTTAGTGACTCTTTCGGATAGTGCTTGAACTCTTCAAAAACTAGTTTCACATTAACATTCAAGACTAGGAATAACTTATTATTTCTTTCCCCCACGGGGATACTTTCTGTTCTCATCTGTAGATAAAGAACTTACACTGGGTTCTTACAGAGACAGATTTATTTGTATTTTGGCTTTGAAACTAAACCCATTAATACAACAATCTTACTGGCAAAAGTTGGCCCCAAACACTCTCAAAAACAGTTGTCTACTGAATGTGTTTTCTCAAAACCAAGCATTTTCATTGTAAAATAATGCACAATGGAAGCATACATAACATTTATAAAGGAAATTCCAGACCATACAAACTGAGAACGACATTAAGTTGCCCACATACGTGCTCATGGGAAACCTGACCAGAAACCCCCAATCTGCATAATCTGGCCATGCATCTCGACTGGGCTTGAAGGCGCTCCCTCCCCTGAGTTCTCAAGAGCAATATGCCCCCAGACAAAGGCACCTTTGTTCTCCCATCTAGCTAATCAGTTTCCAGCCACTGGGAAAAGAAATATTTTGGCACAAAGCCACGGTACAGGGTGTTAGTTGAAAGTGTAAAGGTGAACGTCCCCAGGGACCGGAAGCGGACCTTCTACCCGAGCACGCGGACCAGAGCATAAACGCAGGAGGAGGTGTAACGCGTGGAACCTCGCTGCACAGCCACCTTCCACTCGGACAAGCCAACCAGGCTTACGCAACAGCGAACGACAAGGGTGTACACAGCAACACCTCACTCATCCTGGGCTGTTCCTCACCTGACTGGGACAGACAAGGAGCCACCCAGAAGGCCTCTGAGCCTCAAATGAGAAGTCTCGCTTCCTCGCACACAAAACAAGCTCCTGTGCTCTCCTCACAGAGGAGCCCTGCCGCTCTCTCTTCAAATCTCTTGTTCTTTAAACATTAACTCTGAAATGCCTGGTTATCTTGTTTCTTAACTCACAGAGGGTCATAAGTCACAAAGTCAGAGGAGTAAGGATCCAGCAGTGAGTGGCAGGCACCGATAAAAGGCCTACCATGAGTGAAAAGCAAATTTGAAAAACCAAACAGCTTTATATATAGGCACCCCACCAGCAACTTTGCACAGGAAGAAACAAGAACAGTTCATGGCAGAGGCAGCAAGAAAGTTTAGAATTACATCCTATTTGAAGTGCAGGAGGAAGATGGGGAAGAATTCAGTAACGTTTTGAACATTGTAATCCAGGCCTGGACAATCTTTTTCTGTAAAGAGCCAGAAAGTATACATTTTAGATGTTGCAAAGCAGCCACAGGCGATAGATAAACGAAGGAGCATGATTGTTTCCCAATAAACCTTTATTTATAAAAACAGGTACCAGGACAAAGTTGACCTAACCCTTGTTCTAATCCAAAAAATGGTTAAAGGAAATAGATTTGACCACTTTGAAAGAATTAAACATCACTTAAAGCAATATTCAAATTTTGAAGACTCATTTCCTATTGTATGAAAACCCATCAAATATTTAATAAGCACCTATTATATGCCAGGCACTATACTCTGTGATGCTAATTCAGAAACAAAATAGATACAATGCCTGCTTTCATGGTGTTTATAATCTAGGAGATGGCAATGAACAAGTCATTTTAAATACCCATCACAATGGTATGAAAGCCAAGAATTGTGCCATGGGGCCGTGTAAACCGGGACCTAACCTGAGATACTGTGTGGGAAACCTAAGGAGGGGTTGCTGAGAGCGAGAACCGACCCAGTATAATTGAGTTTGGTTTTGGTTAACCTGGTTGCAAAAGGGAAGACTTTTCGAGGGAAGAGAGGTTTACACTCAGACTGGAAAGACGGCAAGAGGAGGGAGTAGGGAAAAGTGAGGGGAGAACATTCCAGGCACAGGACACGAATATGGAGTGAGGGTGGTGTGGATGAAGAAGTCCAATATAGCCAGAATGGAGGGCTGGGTGGGAGAGAGGAGACAAGAGCCAGGGGCCAGACAGACAGACAGGGCTTCCAGGGATGTGTTGAGATTTACGGACACCACCTTAGGGCAACAGGAAGAAAAGCAAGGATTTTCAGCAGTAGACTGATGGTAATCTCCTGGGTTTCTTGCAAACTCACTCTTGACTACAAGCTGGAGGTGGACAGAAGGCTACTGTGGTCATTTAGCATGGTGCCTGGCAGAGGCAGTGGTGATGAGGAAACAAATATGAAAAATAATTAGAACACAGTTTTAATAGACTTGGTGACTGGCTGAGAAAGTAAGTATGCATAAAACGTGACACCCAGATCATGAGCAACCGGTGCCATAGTCAGAGGTGTTACTGGGCCATTTCTTCTTTATTTTGTGGGCCATACCTTTTGCTAAACTTTTTTTTTTTTTTTTTAAATAACTTACTATTAAATGGCATATCCCGTAAGCCATTTCTGAATTAAACTCTACAAAATAATGCCCAGTGTACAGTAAAGGTCAAAGAGATGAGGTAGGGGCCCAGTTTTAAGTATCTCTCTGGGTCATAACGCATGTGCTTGTGAGGATCCCAAATGAGACCATGTTTAGGCTGAATAAACCCAAGATGCAGACAATTTGTCTGATGCCATACAAAAGTAGACCGTGATATAGTGAGAAGCTGGTACTGTAACAGGTCAATGGATCCCAGACCAGCTGATCATTATAACTGGCCAAGAAGCTTGTAAAAACTACACACGTCCTCAGCTGTATTCCAAACCTGTAAGACTGACCTGGGCGCTTTTAAATGGTACAGCCAAATTTTCTAAAATTGCCTAACGCTGGTGGCATAGTGCCTAAGGCATGTGACTGCTAACCAGAAGGCTGGCGGTTCAAACCCACCAGCCACCCCTTGGAAGAAAGACTGGGCAATTTACTTCCGTAGTGATACCGCCTCGGAAGCTCAAGGAGGGGTCGCTATGAGTTGGATCTGACTCAGCAGCAGTGAGTAGTGCATAATAACAACCCAAACAAGGAAGGAAAAAATGCCATTTTGTGCCTTCTCTTTTTCCCTCTCTCAAATACATGAGGACAGCAAACTCCAATGGGTTGGTGTTGGCAAAAAACCTGGGAATTCTCTTTGTGACAGTAACTTTTAGGATATCAGGTTTTTGTCTTTTGTTTTGCTTCCATGATAACACCCTGAGAAATAAGAGTATGGGTTTTTCTTTGAACAACAAATTACTTTAAAACATAATTTTTTCAAGATATACAATATAACGCTATCTTCAACTTCAGACTTTACGCATTCAATCTTCAGCTTTCAATTTAAAGACACTTTAAATAGTAGAATGCATCAGGTTTTAAAAGACCACTTAATCTTAAATCATGAAATTTGCTTTTTAAAAATCACTTGATACCATGTCACATGTAACTGCTACCCTGTGGATTCTTTAATTGGAAACAACAAGGCGAGAAAACAGAAACTGTTCTAACTACGCAGTAAAAGAAAACAATGTTGAACATTGTGCTTTCCTGGATTTAATGTCCATTAAGGTTAGGGAGCTCTGGTAGCATAGTGGCTAAGACACTTGCCTGCTAACCAGACGGCTGGCGGTTCAAACCCACCAGCCACTCCTCGGAAGGAAGGTTGGGCAATCCTACTTCCGTAGTGATACTGCCTCGGAAACCCAAGGAGGGGTCGCTATGAGTCGGGTTTGACTCGACGGCACATAACAACAACAACAACAAAGGTTCACATGAAATCAGCTTTCTACTTAAGCGTCTATTGAGCTTCCTTAAAAAAAGAAAAGTTTATCAAGGTAAGTCACATAGCTCTGGGCTAAGTCTATCACCCCTCAGAGGCTGAGGCCTGTGGGCAGTAAACAAGCATAAAAAAAAAAACAAAACTCCTTGGGGTAGATTGTCCAACCTTCCAAGGAGTAGCTGGTGGGTTTGAACAGCCAGCCTTCTGGTTAGCAGTCAAATGCCTTAGGCACTATGCCACCAGAGATCCTATAAACAAGCTAACAAGTTCATAAACAAGGTAACTCCAGGTCTTCCTCCAGTAGAGGTGGAAAGGTAGGTTGCTTTAAGTAAGGTTAAAGAAGTCACTTCTCCTGGAGGTTGTTATTTGAGCCAGGAAAGATCTGAAGGGCAAGGAGGCAGCTTGGGACGACCTAGAGGGAAGAAAACACACCACCAGGGACAGGAACAGCCTTACCCAGCCTGAGGGCCAGAAGGAAAGGTGCTGAGGAACCGGGAGAATGGAGAAGATGAGGGTTGGGACATTCACATCAGCATTCCATTCTGGTTTCAATGGGAAGCCAGCAGAGGGCTTGAAGCAGGAACGAATTAACAACTTAGTTTCATTTATTGCTAAAGTCGTACTTGTATTAAATTTACGATTTTTGAAACTGAAACCGTTCTACTGAATGGACTGCCTATTTCCAATTTTTGTGTGTGTTTTTTCCTGTTTCTAACTGCAAGGGTTATTGTGTTTTTGTAATTTACCTCCACTACACAGAAAACTTTGATTCACATAAACTTATTTCTAAATTGCAACGCCTACACCAAAAGCAAAAGCCTTCAAAGGGTTCAATGGAGACACAGGAAAAACATCAAACTCCAATTTTATACCAAAGACAAAAAAGAAAACTCACTGCGATCAAGCTATCCAACTCACAGCCACCCTACAGGGCAGACTAGAACTGTCTCGAGGGTTTCCAAGGCCGGAACCTTCAACCAAGCTGACTGTTGCATATTTCTCCCGCAGAGCGGCTCACGGGCTCTAACCACTGACCTTTTGGTTTGCAGCCAAATGCTTTAACCATTGTGCCACCAGGGCTCCTCTAGTTTTTAAAGAAATTTTATACCACCCAGTACTACAAAAAATTTTAAAAAGGAAATAGAAGATGTTAGACAACAACTCTTAAAGGATGTAAGGATTGATTCCATGATGTATTACAATTCCATCAACAAAAACATGTGGTATAATCCAGCTTCCATAATCTTTTGAATGACGGGGATAATCAACAAAATTTTATCAGATGGCTCTGTTTAAAAACAGTCATGTTACATTTGCATACATGTTCTAAACAGCAACTAAATTTTTAATGAAAATTAACACTGTTAACAAGAAAGGCCTGTTATGCAACTCATTATTTAACATATTCTGCTGGAAAATGACGGCTCCACTCCAGTGTCCTGTCCTTCGTTCTCCTGTTTGGACGTCGCCTTCCCCAGTTTCCTACAGAACTTTCCATGTTCAGCTCGTCTTGCCCTGTGTCTTCTCCACAATTTCAACCCTCCGTTTTCGAGTTGCTACCATCTTCAATTTCCTGCATGAGATGTCCAAATCACTAGACTTATAAGCTTACCTGTTGTAAGATTAAACTTAAAATTTTCTTTCCCAAATCAATCCCTCTTCCAAATTCTGCTTGTTTATGGCACTGTCCCTAGGAGCTCTGGTAGCATAGTGCCTAAGGCACTTGACTGCTAACCAGAAGGCTGGCAGTTCGAAGCCACCAGCCACTCCTAGGAAGGAAGGTTGGGCAATCTACTTCCATAGTGATACTGCCTCAGAGGGGTCGCTATGGATTCAAACTGCTGACCAGTTTGAAACTTGCTATGAGTCAGGTCCGACTCAACAGCACATAACAACAACAACATGGCATGTCCCCACCATCAGCTCAAAACCGGAAAGCAGTTCCTTGTTGGACTCCCCTTCACCTCTATACCACTCAGCTGTGGGTACAATGACTCGCAAGTGTTTCCCTTTTCTTCAAAATGCCCTGGAGGCACTCAGCTGCTAGCCAGAAGGTTGCCAGCTTGAACCCTCTCAGTGGCTCTGTGGGAGAAAACCTGGTGATCTGCTCCCTAGAAAACCTTGTGGGGCAGTTCTCCTGCGTCCCACGGGGTTGCGGAGTCGGAACAGACTTGACGGCACTCACCAACAAGCTCTGTTCCTCACCTGTCCCCTCTGCAGTGGCAGCTTCCCAGCAGTCTCTCCCCTGCCTGTTCCTTGTTCCCTTCTGTAAAAGACTGATGCCCGCTCCTTCAGCCTTCACCGCCAAATTAATGTCATCGCAGCTCTGTTAAATATCCACGATGTCCATCTCAGGGGGTGTGAGTTTGTAAATAGCCACACAACATGGACATCAGTTGCTCCTGGAGGTTCATTTTGTTGGTGGACTTTATTCCTCCAAACCCAGAAAAGCAAAGACATGTTGTGTTGTTGTCATGTGCCACTGAGTCGGACCCGACTCTTGGGGACCCCTCCTTGGGTTTCTGAGGCGGTATCACTACGGAAGTAGATTGCCCAACCTTCCTTCCGAGGAGTGGCTGGTGGGTTTGAACCACCAGCCTTCTGGTTAGCAGTCAAGCGTCTCAGGTACTCTGCTACCAGAGCAGTGGAATGTCAAAGCCCTAGGAGTGGCCCAGTGCTTATCAACTGATTGGAATCAAGTTTTACTTCAAGGGAAATCCTTACCCATTTCACCAGCAAGCTGAGTTTTCACGAGCTGATTGGTTTATAAACATAGTAAGACTTCAATTATCCCACCAATACCAGGCTCCCTGCTCTGACCATGGCTTCTCAAACCTCTTAATTTATGAAAGAGAAAAGAATGAATGGCACACACCATGACTCCCACCAGACACACAAACAGAGGCACACACATACATACGAGACCACAATGTTTAAGAAGAAAAGGTTCCAAATAGTTAGTTCTTCTCAAAACTAATAAAACTACTATCAGTGTTTATACCCCTCCAAAATAATGGCTTCTTATCTACTTTTCCAGATAATTAAACTAAAAATTCTATACTTTCCCTGTGGAGAAGGTCCTAAGAGGTAAGAAAACTTCTCCTGGATGCCCAGCACTGCACCTTCACGCTACTGTCACGCTACTCTCTGTGGTGTTACACTCAGTCTATAGATAAAGACAGGGAGGCTCAGGAGGATTAAATAACCTTTCTTCATGAATTTATTTAAGCACTAAATATAGTACTAAGGAGCTCTGGTGGGCAGTTGTTAACACATTCAGCTGCTAACCAAAAGGTCAGCAGTTTGAATCCACCAGCCACTCTGCAGGAGAAAGATGAGGCAGTCTGCTTCCACAAAGATTTACAGCCTTGAAAATGCTATGGGGCAGTTCTACTCTGACCTTGAAGATCATTAGGAGTCAGAATCGACTAGATGACAGTGGGGTTGGTTTTTTGAAATACAGCACTTAAAAGCTGGCTGCCATCAAAAAAGCTGGACTGTTTCTCTGACCCCAAAGCCACGATTTCTACCACATCTTTCTGAATGGATCTAATACATTCAATCAAACAAAGATTCAATAAATTCCTAATTTCTATAAAGAATCTTAAGTAAAAATTAGTGTTACAAACACAAATTTCCTAAAGTACACTTAGTGAAATGTAAAGATACTAAATTAAAGCAACAATCACAAATGTTTCAACATACTTGCTAGTAAACAGCGAAGATTCACCCGAAATGCTTATTCACTAAGTTTGGGGCCAAGTCTGTGTATCCTACCCAAGGAGAAACAAACTGCTCCTATTTTTAAAACAATTTTATAAACAGCGGTACTTACCCTTCTTTTGAATGAAAATCCTAAGCAATGGATTGGCTGTGGAAACAGCTTTGTGGTAATTATCATCATTGTTTATAGGTAGTAAGTCTCCATGGATGTCTGCATAACCTACTAAAACGTCAACATTGGGTATCTTATGAACATGCTGCAGTAATCCATAAAACTCTTCAAATTTTCCAGGTTTTGATCTTTCCAGTGAAAAACGACGAAATTCAGCTCCAAACTATAAATATAACAAACATACAAAGGATTAAAAAACAAACAAATATAAGTAACAACTTTTGCCCAAACCACAATATTAAACCAACCAACCAAGCACAGAGTAACAGAAAGATGCCATAAAAATATTAACAAACAGTATTTCCCTTAATAAAGATTTCTAATAACACAGTGTATTGTCAGAAACGTCATTACCAGGCCCTACAACTGCTTAAGAAAGGTACATGCATGTACTTCCTGGCTGTCACATCTCTGAAGGCCACTCCCTTCAAGAGATGCGGTTCAGCTCAATCCCTGGGGCACCTGCCTCTCTGGGGACTGTCCAGCAGAGTGACTCAGCTCAAACCCTGTCTGGAGACCACACCCTGACAGCCTCTCCTCACGTAGGTCAAGGGGAACCAAAGATGTGTCCAAGTCTTTAGTCTTTATTTCAAGCATTGGCAAAAAGGAAAAAGAAAAAAAAAAAAAGGCATCTAAGAGGGACCTACGATTTCACGGGACGTGGCAAGGATTAATAGCAAAATATACAGGATTTTGTACTCCTTGGCCTAAGGTAAGGAGCTCTGGTAGCACAGTGCCTAAGGTATCTGACTGCTAACCAGAAGGTTGGCGGTTCAAACCCAACAGCCACTCTGGAAACAAGACTGGGCAATCTACTTCTGTAAAGATTTACTGCCTCGGGAACCCAACAGGGGGGATTTGCTATGAGTCAAAATCGACTCTACAGCAGTGGGGTTTTTTTGCTTTGTCATAGGTACTATACACATAGAGTGGACAGATTAAAAAAACAGGCCCAGAGAGAAGCACCTTCCCTAAGTTGAAGAAGCTTTGTTGATACATCCAATACACACCCTACAATGACCCAACTAATGCAACAAATGTTTATGTGGCTGGCACAGAGCTAGGCCCCAGAGACTGAAAGGTTCAGGCCGGCTCCCAAAGCTCACCAATTAGTGGGTAAAGAGAGTAACTACCCCCGAGGTTCTAGGGGATCACAGGAGGAGGAGCCACAGTCTCCATCAGGCCCTGCATTTCTCTTCACAGTTCTGACACTCAGGTCAGCATCCCTCCTCCAGGCACCTCTGACTGCCAAATGCCAAAGCACTAAAGTGGCGCTTATTCAACAGTCTCTAAAAAGCAGAATTTGTAACTTTCTATGGGACTCCCACGGCATTTCCTCAAATCTGAAGAAAGGCCCATCAGCCTTCTTCGCAAAGCGTCCCAGTCTGAGGTTCTGGAAGTGCTAGATACCCACTCTCTCAGGAATAGCTGTAGAAACAGCCCAGAGGCTCGGTTAACGTCCAGAGTTGATTTTTTTTTTTTTTTTAATAACTATATAGAAACAAATGCTTCCCAAATGTGTTTGGACCACTGAATTCACTTTCCCTCTAAATATTCATTATTAGTAAGAAATATTAAAGTACTGCTGAGACTGCCTTAACCACCATTCCCAGAAAGCCCCTACCATAATAACTTGAGCAGCTTACAAACATGTCAATTCATTTTCCCAAGGGTCTATGGGGTGTCTGGGTCCACTGCGTTTGCTATACCTAAGGTGTTCACCTGCCTTGATCATACCCACACTACTCACTGGTTTCACATTAAAATTCAAACATACAGAAACTACCTCTTACTTGTAGTAAATAATTTAAAAATTTCCAAAACACATTCCTGAAACAAACATTTATCAAGAAAATAAGGTGACTCATACCTAAAGCTCTCAAAAAGTTTAGTCACACCTTCACATCACAAAGTAAATAAAAACTCCGGGAACACCCTTCCTATCAGAGTCAGTCTCCTATCAGAGTCAGTCTTATGATGTTATCAAAAGTCATAGTTTCTCCTCCATTTTCTTTCTTCTGGAATCACAACATAAAATTGCTACTGCTTTCTGATTCACCACAAGCTTTATTACTTCCTCTGACAGCTGAATGGGAACGCTGTTAGCTGCTGTCAGATCGATCCTGACTCATGGTGACCCCAGAGCAGAGCTGCTCCACGGGGCTTTCACGGCTGCAACCTTCAGAAGCAGCTCTCTAGGTGCCTGGGGTGGGTTTGAACCACAGTCTTTTGGTAAGTAGTCCAGCGGTCAACCACCTGCACCACCCAGAGACTCTACAAAGGGGAATGGCATTTAGTAACTGAAAGTTGTGGGGCTTCAACATTTTTGCTAAAGCTCTGGAAAAAAATTCTTTTCTCAACTTTTTTTTCTTGCTAAAATGTTGTGATAAAAACAATGGGGAACTGTATGGCTTCACAGTAGTTGTGCCTTTTTGCAAATGTTGGCAGGAAAAAAACAGAAATTGTTATGCTTCTTGCAGCAAAACAACAGGATTAAGAGAACTTTTTACTACATGAAGTAAAACACTCAGATAAAATTCAGACCTTATCAGCAAATGTTCACAAAGGAATTACTCACTAGATGCACCATTTACAGCTGCTTTTCAGCATCCAGTTTGTCCTGTTGTTGTTGTCATGTGCCTAGAGTCGGACTCATAGCGACCCCTCCTTGGGTTTCCAAAGTGGTGGAGGTAGACTGCCCAACCTTCCTTCGGAGGAGTTGCTGGTGGGTTTGAACCGCCAGCCTTCTGGTTAGCAGTCAAGTGCCTTAGGCACTATGCTACCAGAGCTCCTCCAGTTTGTCCTAGCCATCCAGAACGTGACGGGACTCCTTTCCCCCAGTATCAGCTGGCATGCTAGAAATGCAAACTTCATGTTAATATTCCAATTCCCTATGACTAACAATCAGGAAGTTTAATGGTTCAAAGAAGGCATCCTGGTGGCACAGTGGTTAAAGCACTCGGTTGCCAACCAAACAATCAGTAGGTCAAACCCACCAGCCGCCACTCTGTGGAAGAAACAGGAGGCAGTCTGCTTCTGTGATGATTTACAGCCTTGGAAACCTTAAAGGCACTTCTATTCTGTCCTACAGGGTCACTGAGTAGAGACTGACCAGACAGCAGTGGGTTTGATATGGTTCAAGCACTGTTTCAAGGTTAAAGGACACCATAGCGTGTTTATAAGAACTTTCCTATCTCTGGAGAAACAATTAGGAAGATACTAGTTACCAGAGAAAAACCACATGGCAGCTGGTATCACAAATGCCACTGGAGTGCTGTCCACACTATCCATTATTTTATTATCTGTACCATCGTCCCCTCCATAGCAAAGATAATAAAGTTGACGCCACTGTGTTCTATGCTGAATGAAAAGACAGCCTAAAGCATGGGTCTGCACACTACCTAGCTGTGTTTACCACCTCCGTTAGCAGTTTGTAAAAAGCTGAAATAGCATGACAGCAGTGTAAAAAGAAGTACTGATTTAAAACTGTGTCCGAATATTTTTTAGATGGCTAAGATGACAAGAAAGAAGCTCTGGTGACACAGTGGGTAAGGCATCTGGCTGCTAACCAGAAGGTCATCAGTTCAAACTGCTCTGAGGAAGGAGGACAGGGCAATGTACTTCCAGAAAGATTTGCAGCCTCAGAAACCCAAAAGGGGTCGCTGTGAGTCAGAAACACCTCAATGGCAGTGAGTTTGGTTTGGTTTTGGTTAAGAGGACACGTGTTTTATTCAATCAAATAAAAACAAATGTACCCACAATATATATTTAAAACATAAGGTGTGACAGACATCGTAGAAGGCTGTGTGCCCTGCGTATTTATCAAGAGCCAAAACAACGATGGGAGCTCTGGTGATGTAGTATCTAAGGCATGTGACTGCTAACCAGAAGGCTGGCAGTTCAAACCCACCAGCCACTGCCTGGAAGGAAGATCGAGCAATCTACTTCCGTAGAGATATCACCTCGGAAACCCAAGGAGGGGTCGCTATGAGTCGGGATCGGCTCAACGGCAGTGAGTAGAACAATGGTGGAGCCCCACTTCGCTCAGTGCATGCTCTCCGAATGCCTGGATTCCATCAAAGAGACCGGGTGCGCTATGGCAGGTCAAACACACAACATCCAGTTTGGCCACAGTTTATGAAAGATTCACAAATGAGCCGCCAGAAGAGGAGCGCAAAAATCTGGAAGTTCCAGTTCCCAAACGCTCAAAGTTTCCTAGTACTCGAATAGGTGATTACTTGGTTGTTAATTATCAGTGTATATAGACTGACCCTTATTATCAAATCCCTAACTCATTTTTTCCCACGATAAAAAAAATTAAGGATTTGCCACCAAGATTAAGGCCACGGGCTGAATTTTAAGATTATGCAACAGTTCAAGTGTTTTTCTTTTCTTAACCTCAGCTCCCACAAACCCAAACTAGATTTATAACAGAACTGCCAGGAGAAAGTCCAACCAACGGGCATGGACAGAACTACTCCAGCCACTAGCTGCTAGGGAAAAAGTTCTCCGTATTTTGAGTCATTTTAACCCTTTCATTCAAGCAAGCCACTTCAATTTGGCATCGCAGTTCCGTGAAGGACACAAAGAAGAGTGCATTTCTTAAATTGCTTAAAATTATCAAACAGTTCCTGAGACTAGTGCCGATTCCTCACCCATGAGTTCTTAAGTCGCAAATGAAGTTTAAAAATGAACACATATTTTCAAACTCTTGATGTGACTCTGTTACAGCAACTTACAGAATTTTGCTTATCAGCCCTAGATAACAAAAACCATTCCACTTCAGGCTCCTGGAGGCTTTCCTTAACTGCACCATACTTTCCTCAAATCACTCCTTGATTTTACATTCCAAGGAGTTTTACATTCAATGATATGTCGTCATTTTTGAAGGTGATATGCTTTTTTTTTTTTTTTTTCCTATTCTTTTATGGGTTCTGGTCTTTCCAACGCTGTTCTAAATGTTTTCAGGGCCCAGCCAATGCCCGGTTTTGGATTCTATACTGCCTAAAAGTTATTCCGTGAAACAACTTGAAGATTTTGTCCTAAAAGCAGAGCTTGGCGAAGTCATCGCTTTTCTGAGCCTCGTCTGTGAAACCAGAACTGGACTATCTAAACCTCTTTCAGCTCTTCATCAAACGCTTGTCGAATTTGTTCCCGTAGCTGCTGATCACCTGCAAATTCCAGCTCAAAACCCCCTTTGGAAAGCATTCCCTAACTAACCCCCGAGGACTGCCCCGCTGGCCCAGCCTTGCAATTTAAGAATTCAGTTGATACCGAGGTAATTACCCCCAGATTGGCACACCGTTCCTCGGTCAAGGGGGAAAGGACTGGATGCGAAAAGGTAGCCCGATGGAATGAAAAGGTCATCCAGACTGAAACCGTCCGTAAAGTGCTAGCATCCACCAGGCAACAGTGTTAATTTTGTAGATTAAATGCATACCCAAGTTAGTGCCAGAAAAATTCCTAGCAGGAAACAGAGCTACCTTTAAAAAGTCTCTTTTCTTCGCCCCCCGATGAACCCCTGGACCACGAAAAGGGTAACATTATAGGACCACGGGGTGTTCCAAATCCCTTTGACTCATTGCCCAGTAGGGAGAATTCCCTAAACCTTCCTACTGCATTCAAATGCTTTCCCATCCTCAGGTGCAGACTGGGCCGGACTCCCATCCTGGAACAGGAACGAGACTACATGCTCCACTGGGTCCTGCTATCAGGCCAGGGGCAAACAGACTCTAGCCCCTCGCCCGCCCCCTTTGCAGCGAGTTTATTATCCACCACCTCTGGCCTCGGCTACCCCGCCCCCTGCCGTCCCAGCCGCGGGGCAGCTCCGCAGTCGGTCTCCGCCCGGCCCTTCGCCTCCCCCGAGACACGCTCGCCGCCCCCCGCGCTCCAAGCTGCTCTCTGGCCTCCCCCAGGTCCCTGCCTCGGCCCTGCCGCTCCGCCCAGCCCCGACCCCGCGCACCTTGCTCTTCACCTCCATGGTGCCCAGGCAGCCGCTGCCTGCCCCGTGCCGGTGGCTGCGGTTCATGCTAAGCGCCGAGCCCAAGGCGGCCTCCTCCAGCCGAGCCGCCCCTCAGGAGCACCGGGAGCGAGTGCGCGGCTGGCGGGCTCGGGGGGCAGCTGAGGCCCGATGCGTCCTTACAGGCACCTGCAGAGGGGGCTGCGGCGGCTCGGGTCTCCGCGCCGAGCTGTGCTCCAGCTGCTCCTCACGCAGCGGGATCGAGGGTCGGACTGGCAGCGCTGAGGGAGGGGACGCGGTTCCCTCCCTCCGAGCCTCCGCGGCGGCCGCGACGACTGAAGAGGAGGAGGAGGGGGCGGAGCGGAGAGGATCGGCGCCGCAGCTTCACTCTCGGCTGCCTCCGTCTCGAGCCCGCGGGCGCGCCTCCGAGCTGGGGCGGGAGCCGCAGCGCGGGCACGCGCTCACCTGCAGCCTGCGAAGAAGCCTCTGCAGCTCGCGCTCCGCCCACACCCAATAGGAAGCGCGCACCTGCGCCCGCGGCGCCAACCAATCGATACACGTCTTTCGCAGCGCGTGGGCGGGCCCCTTCGCTAAAATTCCGCCCACGGCGGCATGATTGGTCCAGTCTTCGGGGGAGGGGCGGGATCACCTGAAGCCGGGTGCCTCCTCTCCCGACCTAGCAGGAGAGCCGGGAAACGCATGCGCAGGCCATGGAATTTCCGCCCTGGGAAGGGAGTGTGGGAGAAAACCCGCCGGAAGTGCGAGCGCACCTGGAGAAGGGCTAAAGCTGGTAGGCTTTATGCGCACGCGCGCGCGCGCGCGCGCGCGCCTAATTGCAGAGGCCCCGTCGGGAGCTCGCGCCGCGTGGCGCTTGCGGACTGTCCCCTTGCTTGGGGGGGGAGGTGCCACGGGGCAGCTAGGTTCCCGCCCCTGTCTGGCCTCCACTTAGGGACGCTGCAGTTTCCACCGATGCCCCGGCACCCATTTGCGACTTTTGGGCGTCGGGGTGTAATTTTTGGTTGCAAAAGTCAAGTTTTCCCGCCTCTGCAGCAGATACTGGAGGAGAACCTTAGGGACCTCAAGGCTGGGTTTTGTTCGAAGAGACTCTTTCTGCACCCTGCACCATCTTAAATCCATCAGGTCCCAGCGTGCGAGTGGGTGCCCGGAGGGAAGGAAATAGACTGAGGCCCGACTTGGCGCTTTCGGGCCCAGCCTCCCAGAAGGCTTCTGGGTCAGCCTTTCAGAGCTTTTTTTTTTTTTTTCCCTTTTTAACCTCTGAAGTTTCCCTCTCCCGTCCTCAAGCTGTTTCTTGGATATTTTGCCGTTTCCCCAAATGACAGCCTCTGGCTTGTGTTTGTTTCCCAGAGCAACGGAGTTGTGTCCCTGAGTAACAAAAGGACCGTATCCTTTTCTCTAAATGCCCCAGAGCTGGGATGTGGCAGGCAGACCTTGCTTAGCATTGGCCAGGCCAGGGAGGTGGGACCCTCTGAAGGTTATGGCTGAAGGAGACTCCCCCTGGGCCTCTTGGTCACCAAGTCAACCCTACACACAAACACACACAAGGGCCACCGAGGCCCTCTGTAGCTGCTGCTCCTCAAAGGGCTGCTGAATTCTCCTGTGAGCCAGGGCCAGGGCCAGCCATGCCTGGGCCCCGGAGACAATCCAGTCAGGTGACAAACACAGTTAGGTATGTCCTGAGAGGGACAGTATTAACCATGGAAGACCAGGAGGAAAGACCAGGTGAGAATTCACAATACCGTCTTTCTGAAGAAGAATTTCTAACCGGAGGTGGTCAAGAAGAGTAGCCAGAAGTGGGTCCCAGGGGTCTCTCTGGTTAGCATGCCTCATTCCAGCTGAGTCCTGAGCCTCTGTGTTTTCCTGCCTGTGTCAAATCCTCCTAACACATCTGTTCTCCCAACACCTTCTCCTTCTCCTTCCCTGAGCCTGTGACAGTTCCCTTTTGCCATTGTGCCTGGGCCTTTGAGGTTTTTTCTTTTTTGATGAGTAATCCACCTCCACCCTAAAATGAAAGCTCACTGAAGCCAGGCACCATATCTGCTTTGCTCACTGTTGAGTGTGTAACACAGGCCCGACTCTAGGAGATACTCAGACACAATGGTGCTAGGGCCAACGAAGTGTGGTTTCTCTGTGCCGACTTTGCCCCACCTTGGTTTAAAAGTCAAGAAAAGCCCATCTTTGTCCATGGGAGGTGGTGATGGCAGGGAGTTGGGTTCCAGCTTGGCAGAGGCAAAGTCTGTAGGGAACTTAAGGTTTTCATGGCCATTTGTGAGTGAAAGTAAAGACAGAAAGGATACCATCCCAAGCTGAATAATAATAAGGCTGCCATCATCACCCCCTGTTCAAAAGCACCTACTATGTGACTCAAGCTATGTTGGAAAGAAAAGCATGGCGCCCCATGGGGCAGCTTCAGAGCTGAGGGTGTAACTCTATCAACTGGACTGTTGTTGTTATGTGCCATCGAGTTGGACCCGACTCATAGCGACCCCTCCTTGGGTTGCTGAGGCAGTATCACTACGGAAGTAGATTGCCCAACCTTCCTTCGGAGGACTGGCTGGTGGATTTGAACCGCCAGCCTTCTGGTTAGCAGTCAAGTGCCTTAGGCACTATGCTGCCAGAGCTCCTCTCAACTGGACTAGTAGAGCAATTCTCAAACTTTTTGGTCTAAAGCCCATTTATACTCTTAACAATTATGGAGGATCCTCAAATATTTGATGTGTGTTATGTCTATCATTATTTATTTTATGGGGATTAAAACTGACACATATGTAGAACATGTGTGTGAATATACAAGCACACAGCTCCACAGTCATCAGTGTTGATGTCATCATCACATGCCATGTCCCTTCTGGAAAATTCCACTGTGTGCTGTGAGACAATGAAGGGTGAGAAGGGCGAATGATACCTTAGATTTATGGAAAGAGTTTTAGCCTTGTGAATCCCCAAAGAGGTCTCAGGAACTTCCAGGGTCCCTGCAGCACACTTGGAGAACCATGGGCCTTCTCTAGTTGGTGGGGCCGCACCCTCAGAGCAGGGGCCCTGGCTCTGTGTGAGTGAGTGTTGGGCGGTTGAGTTTTATTACTGTTATCGGTACTGATTTATCAGGCCCTTTAAAAAAGGAAGTTGGGAGGTGCCAGCACACCGAAGTTGGGAGGTGCCAGCACACCTGCGTGGGCCTTGCATTCTTGGAGGCGTCGTCATGCCTCTTTTCCCTCCCCCGGTGTGGGTGTGCTGTCTGTCCTTACATGGACTTCCCTTTCTAGAAGGAAGGGCCAGCCCAGAGTTTGCTCTGAGGCCTGCGTCACAAGTACACTTGGGTTGTGTAAGGGAGGAATGTGGAAAATAGTTTGAATTTGATAAAGGTGTGTGGAGGAGGGGAACCCTCTCATTCCTGGAGCTGGTATGTCCGCAAGTTTGTTCCCAGGGCTTGAATTCCAGCCTTTCTTGGGAAACCCAGAGAAACAGCCCAGAGAACGGTTTATATTTCTGTTTACTCCAGGTTTGAGACTGACCCTAATCTCATTCCTGTCCACCATCCCTCCCAACCTTTAAATCCGCAAACTAAAGCTGATCAAGACCTACATGTGGAATGAATAGTTAGTCCCCTGCCAGGGAGATTAATACCTAGTGGGTTACGGAGACAAGTAAGGTGAGTGTATGATGTTAGGGACACTGTAAATTATAGGTTCACAAAATAGCTGGGAATGTGCTATCAGAGACCATCTCAGCCACAAACTGTCAGCCTTCCCTGGCCCATCGCCACCCTTTGACTACTTTGTGTTTGAGTTCTACAAATACCCTGTTATGTTCTTTGGAAATCTGCTTTGTGAAGTTGAAAGAGTTTGTCATTTTCCACAGTTTTATTAATTCATATCGTGCATAATACCATTTTCTTTCTTTCCTCTCCCAACTCTCAGAATTAGAGAGAGAAAGGGGTGGGAGAGAGAGAGAGAGAGAGAGAGAGGGAGGGAGAGAGAGATGGTAAAAAGCCATGTCTAGTGTTGGTGACATTTTTTTTCAAAGAATTTCTCTTGCCAGCCCTTTTTCTCCACGATTGCTCAGCTTGTTTTAATGGAGCTGGTTAATAATTCTTTGAGAAAGAGTTGAAGTGTGTATTTATGAATCTTAGTCTACTCACCAAAGCATGTTAAGCCCTTTAGCAGAGGTGGAATTGAATCACATGATCTGTTTTCTGGTTAATAGTTCATAATACTTGATGACTCTGTGTGAGGGGCAAGCTGGTGGTGCTCACAGCTGGGGAAAGAATGGATTGTCAGGACATAATTCATTTGCCTTGAAGAAGCTAAATGCACTTTCAGGTAAACATCCATCTTCATGGGAGGTGTAGGTGTCAGGTACCATGTGTGTGTGTCTTACTCTTGACTTGGTTCAGCCACGAGTTTGCTGTCTGACCTTCTCCCTCACTGGGACTCAATTTCTCCATCTGTAAAGCGCAGGCACCGGATGAGATGAGGTCATCTCCACAACCCCTTCCAGCTCTTCACATTCTCTGGTACCCCAGGGATAGTGGAGATGGATCGTTATTTCAGCATTACCAGGGATGAACTGGAATGAAGTGTAATATTTCCATCAGGGTCAACAGATAGGCTGCAGTAATCAGCCAAAAGATCCTAATTCCTACGAGGTGATGATGAAGATGATGATAGCTATCATTTATGGGGACCCACAAAGTGCCAGGAGCCATGCTGAGTGCTTTCCCGTGGATTATCTCATTTAACTAGCATGAAGGATGTTTGTATTTGGAGACAGGCAGATCTTACGTTTGTTTTAAACTGATAGATGTCCATTTGAGTCCTTGCTCTGCTCCTTGCTGGCTGGGCGACCTTCATTTTGTTCCCTTACCTGCTCTGAGCCTCATATATCTGTTCCCATGCTTCCTTCCAAGGAGTGGCTGGTGGGTTTGAACTGCCAGGCTTCTGGTTAGCAGCCGAATGCCTTAGGCACTATGCGACCAGAGCTCCCATAAAAGAAGATAATGCCTACCTCTTCAGATTGTTGAGGCAATCGATGAGAACCTATCTACAAAACTG